AGCATCGGAAGTGAGGGAAGGCTGAGAGCTAATGAGCTAAGTGTATAGTAATTTAAGACGTTAGGAGTGAGGATCGTGGTGCCTGCAATTTGCTTTCAAATATTTTAGAGAGAGGGAGAAGCAAGTGCTATAGGTTATTAGCAGTTGCTAAGTTTTAGGGGATGGGTTATTGATGTTTACTGGCCTATTCTCACAACTTTCTATATATCTGGAATTTTTAAAAATAAATTGGGAAAACTGTTTCCTTTAAAATCAGGAAGAAGACAAAGATTTGTAGTATCCACCACTTCTATTCAGCTTTGTAGTGAAGGTCTTAGCCAGTGCAATTGGACAGGCCAAAGAAATGTGAAGTATAAGGATTAGGAAGGGAAAAAAAATGATTATAATTTGCACATTTTGTGATGGTCTACATAAAAAACCCAAAAGAATCTGCAGGTAAATTATTGAATTAGTACAGTTGCTGGAGATAGAGCAATATACAAAAATGTGTTGCATTTCTACATGTCAGCAACAATTAGTTAGAAAATGTCAGTAAAAATAGTCACCATTTAAAATAGCAACAGAGAGCTGGCCAGTTGCTCAGTTGGCTAGAGCAAGGTGTTATAACACCAAGGTCAAGGGTTCAGATACCTAGGCCAGCTAGCTACTCGCCCCCCTCCCCTCAAAAAAAAGAGAGAAAGAAAGAAAGAAAACAAACAAAATGTGTACTTAGAGATAAACCAAAGACGTATAACACAACAATGGAGAAAATTGAAATACTTTAAAGAAAGTCTAAAACACATTAAAATATGTGCCATATTTATGGGTAGGAAGAGTTATTGTCATGGGATGTCAGTTTTTCCCAAATTCATCTATAGTTTGATAACAATTCTAATAAGCATTCCAACAGGTTTTTAATAGAACTTGACAAAACTGATTCTAAGTATATGGAAAAACAGTGCTCAAGAACAGTACAGATACATATGGAGAACAACAAGGTTGGTAGTCTTGCCCTACCAAACATTAAGATTTGTGATAATTAGGACAGTTTGCAGAGGCAGACAAACCAAAGAAACAGATCCCAGAAATAGACCCGAACGTGCATCCAGACTTTAGAAATGGCAGAGGTAGCACTGAGGCTCAGTTGAGAAAAGATGGACCATCCAGTGCCCATACGCAGTGAGTCCTGGGGCTTGTAATACTTTTTACATGTTCCTTAGCAGTTGTTTCAAGAAATGTGCTAGGTCTGGGGGATATAGGGCAGGACTTAGCAATTGCCAAGAGGTACAAGTTCTGTATCTGCTGTCTGGTGACTCTTAATTCTCCATGAATTTCCAAAATTATATGTAAAATTGCATACTAACTTTTTCTGGAAGAATATTCATCAGATTCTCAAAGGGGTTCATTTGCCACCAAAATGGCTAAGTCACTGAATTCTTGACCATTTTATGACACTGAGATTCCCACTGGGTGTTATGGCATCACCACAGAGTATCATCAAACACTGTGTGGGGTTGCAAAGGGAGCAGGGGGAGAAAGTCAGTCTTCTCAAGGAGAAATGCTGAGTGTGGAAGAGAACAGATGACTTATTCTGGCTATGGAGGGAGAAAAAAAAAAAAAAGGAATCCAGGCCAAGAGAATAGTGTGTGTAGAGCATGGAAACAGAGCCCGGATCATGCAGGGAACTCCAACTATAATTGGATTATGAATAGTTAAAAGAGGAATACAGAGATATGGTAGGAATCCAGGCCAAGAGAATAGTGTGTGTAGAGCATGGAAACAGAGCCCGGATCGTGCAGGGAACTCCAACTATAATTGGATTATGAATAGTTAAAAGAGGAATACAGAGATATGGTGAGAAATGAGGCTGGAAAGTTTAGCGTCTACCAGACATTTCAGAGGTTTCTATTTTGTGCTAAAGCATAATAATTTTGGCATACTTTCACTTTTAATATTTAGAAGTAAATTTAACATCTTTTTGAGACAGATATGGTGGAAAAGGCTGAGGTAGGTGGTGACTTTGGAGACTCGCAAATTTCTAACCTTGTTTGGTGCCATGCCTCATAATAAAGAACTTGACAAGAAAGGCTGATTTTGCTATTGTAATCATTATTGTTTGGGTGGGGAAGGGGAAGACAACACATGTTGCAGTTGGCCTTTCTTTTTTATGGCAGAATATCCAGGTGGAAGGGGGCCGGCCCGTGGCTCACTCGGGAGAGTGTGGTGCTGATAACACCAAGGCCATGGGTTCAGATCCCTATGTAGAGATGGCCGGTTCGCTCACTGGGGAGAGCGTGGTGCTGACACCACCAATTCAAGAGTTAGAATCCCCTTACCAGTCATCTTTAAAAAAAAGAAAAAGAAAATTACTTTTTGAAAAAGTCTCTTGATTACTTCCTCAGAAGGCTGTATTGTATATGTATTATGTCGTATGTGTTACATAGGTGACAGTAGCTAAACATTTGGTTCAGACTCATTGGAATGTAGGTAGTAATTTGAGGCCGTGGGAAGAATGGATGTTGAAGACTAGGTCTGGTGTGTAGAGGCCATGAGACTTGTAAGAAGATGCTGTTTAAGGACCTGGGCTGGGGGCTGGACACAAAAATGTGGTCAGGAGCTGTGTGACAAATGTATCCTGCAATTTTTTCTCCTCTTTCTCCCAGCCCTACCACCACAAAGTCCACGCTGGCAGCTTTAGGTACCATTGACTCAAAGAAACAGTAGAAGAAACTTGTAATGAAGCAAGGAGGAAAGGGACATTGCTTTAGTCAGGGGCATAGGAGACAGGAATAGGAAACAGAAGACCTGACCTCCCATCTTACCAATTCCAGTAACCAGCTGAGTAACCTTGAGCGAGTCACTTGTCTCCTCTGAACCCCGATTCTCTCATCTTAAAATGGGGATGCCCAAATCTTCCTTCACCTACAGAGTTGTTACGTGAATCAAAGGAAATTGCAGATGAAATTACTTTGCAGAGTGCAAGGTGCCGTATTACATTGTTGGTCGGTGTTGGGGGTAGTGGTGGTGGTAGGGAACCAATTGTAAAATATCTGTTGAATTAAATGCCTAAGGCAGACTAAAATTCCTTTTTATAGAGTTAAAGTTATGCAATTATGAATTTGTAGAGCAAAGGGAGACCTCAGAAATAAATAATTTTATAGGTGAGAATGCAGAGAGTTGCAAAGTTCAGTCACTTAATGATACTTACTTAACATTCCACAGACATTTCATGTCAGGGCTGACAGTGGAAGCCAGGCTCTCTCTCCTTAGGTCTGGAGTTCATTCTAACTGAATTAGCACTGACATGCCGGGCGACCTTCCGGAAAGTTGCTGATATGTTGGTGAGCATGACAAAATTAAAACAGAGTGTTGATACCTGATGTCATTCTTATCAGGAGTGCTGGACTGTTATTACTCAGTCTGGAACAGAATGTGTTTATTTCCAGTGCCAAAGAGGAAAACAATTTGTCGTAAAGTGACTTATTTGTATCTTTTAACAGATAGGTGGTATAGGAGCTTTCTTGGAATAATGTACTAATTCAGTGGTTATTCAACCAGACTTACAGTAGGGACCGGCAGTGTCGAAACAAGAGTAGCTTTTAGAAACTTCCCAAGTGGCTGCCTCCCACCTCTTCTTCCCTGGCTTCCATAAGATCCTTATAAACAGCCTGCCATCCTACTGCTCGTCCTGCAGTGTAATGAGAAAGTTTACCAGTGGGATTGTGCCTTGCATGTGAAGTTGTGAGCAGACAGACCACTGTACTAGTCTTTGAATAATAGCGTTTCATTGGTCCTTGTTCACACTGGAACAGTAATAGGATCCAAGCCTGGCTTTCAAAAACCGGGTTCTTATCATTAAGAACAGAGTCTTTGAAATCATGTTAACAATAGTATCTGTGATACACTGAGCTTTTATTGTCTGCTAGACACTCTGCTGAGCACTTTACATATGTAGTATCATTTAATCCTCAATAATCCCATGAGGCGGGAACTTTTTGTATTGCCATTTTATAGGCAAGGAAAGTAAAATTGAGAGATCAGTAGCTTGGCCCACTGTCACTCAGCTAGGTTGCAAATGTGGGTCTGACACGGATGCCCGTTCCACACTTTCCAGCCCTATCGTCCCTTTCAGGCAAATCGTTTACCTCCCCTTAGCTCACATTCTTCTTCTATAAAATGGTGATCACATGAATAGCTGCTCTACCCATCTTCACAGATGTTGGAAGGATGAAATATGCAGAAATGTTTTTCAGTCTCTAACTTGCTATATATAAATGTGTTTTGACTGTTACTGTTAATGTTTTGTATGAAGTCCTCTGTAAATGTTTTTTGTCTGTGATTATTCATGTTGTTTATTGCTGTAATAATTACCTTACCTAACACCGAAGCTTTTCTTTTAAAAGAGTAAAATAGGCTGTAGTTTCTGTGATCTTTCTGCTATTGCTGCTTTGATAGAGCAGTCGCATGGTTCACCCTCATTTGGGATTTCTGCAATTTGCCAGATCTCACAAGCGTTCAAATCTGATGGATTTTCTAAGGGATATCTGTGACTTTATTTTCTAGTCTCAGGAAGAACAGTCTAATGGTTCACCCTCATTTGGGATTTCTGCAATTTGCCAGATCTCACAAGCGTTCAGATCTGATGGATTTTCTAAGGGATATCTGTGACTTTATTTTCTAGTCTCAGGAAGAACAGTCTGGTGTGGTAGGTTGATGAATAAAGACCGGATACTTGTGTTTTTTTAATCTTCTTGTTAATGGCTTTGTGTTAAGTGCAGCTGCCACACCATAACACTTCAGATGCCAGCATGAAGCTTGCAAGGTTCTGCCAAGTGTCTGATTTAAAGTGATTACCAGAGATCAATGATCATCCAACAGTCACAAGTCACCCCGGGGCAGCTCAGAAGCCTCGGTGGCGCCCGGGGGCTGTATTGTGTCGTATATAACCACCTTTCAGTTTTATGGCGGCGCCTCTGGCGCAGTGTCATCATCTCTTCCCCTCCACTTGTGCTGCATTGCAGGCGCTGCTTGAGTCCATGGTTGATGCTGCCGAGAGTCTCTGTCCCAATGTGATGAAAAAAGCCCACATTCGACAAGACTTGATTCATGCCAGCACCGAAAAGATTTCCATTCCTCGTACCTTTGTTAAAAATGTCCTGTTGGAGCAGTCTGGAGTTGATATCCTTAACAAAATTAGGTAGGTTTATAATGTCAATAAACCTAAGCTCTGCAGTTTCTGTGAATGCAGGCAAGGCAGCTGTAAAGAGTGTGATTGTTGGCTTTATCCATTTATAATGTGTTTAGGCATGTTTAATATGCAGAGACTATATATAAATATAGCTTTGCATAAATGCATAGGTTTTATACATTTCCAAGATAATACAATCACGTATGTGCCTGAATTACTTAAGAGCATCTGTTCTCTTTAAGGGCTTTATATTTAAGAAGGGGTATGTGTTTGTAATACCTGTTTTCTGCTTCTGAAGTTTTATCTTTCACCTTTATAAATCACTAGCTTGAAGACTGAGATCACTTTGCTTTTTAACCACCGTACATCTGTGACCAAATACATAGCCTATCAATAGGCAAAGAGGCCCATTAGGACCTTACCATATTTTCCTTCTGGGTTATTTTGGTGGGTCTGTGATACTGTGTGTGTGCTAATGGTGCTTTTGGGGTGTTTATATAGATTTCTGTTTGAAAAAGTTTGAAAAATATTATGCCAAGATATAAATATTTACAAGCTGTGATTACTGACAAGCTTTCTTGAATTTTTTAATAGAGACATTATAGCTAAGCTCATTCTCATAATTTTTCTTAGTTGGGGGATCAGATGACTAAAAGCCAAGTTCAGAAACATTTTAATTTCCCATTTTAACTTTTCTGAATCTTGGTAAGCATATTTAGATGTAGCAAAACCATAGCTAATGTCTGGAGAGTTGGGAGTGATGCTGACACATGGTGATGTAGCTGAATGACAATGCACAAGAAAAATGAGAGTCAACAGCAAACAAGCCAAAAATTATATCATCACTGTCTAGATACCAAAGACTGAGAACTGTAAAGCTAGATCATAGAACTTTGAGGATTTAGGAATTCTGCAGTAACTGGACAGTCTCAGGTCTCACATGCAGCTTTTGTTATTGTTTTTGTTTTGTTTTAATAGAGTTCCTAGAACCTACTCAGCTGAATTGTAAGGCAATTAGAAGTATTCAAGAAATTAAAAAAGGACTTCCGGGGGTTTCTAGGACCTCACAGATTAGTAATTTTATGAACTTTAGTCCTTAGTAGGTTGTTTACATATTTCTATAACCTGTGATTTCAGAATTTTTATTGAAGACCCTTAAATATTAAGGAGAAAAACTGTGTTGGCCACTATTCTTACATAATAATGGGTTCAACCACTGTTGGATCATCAAATAGATCACCAGTAGATCATAGTATAAAATTTTGTCAGATACGGTCACTTCCCTTGAAAATGGGAAAATTCTAAAAGTTGAATAGCAGTATGGAACCCCTCACATCAGTGAATCAATTTGACGTTCACTGTGCTTACTTGGCTGTTTAGAATGCATTATATTAAGCATTGATAGAATGAAAATAGGCACACCCACACATGCACGTGTGTACACATTCACATGCATGAGTGCACATTCACATGCAAAGGTTGCTTTGACTCATTTCTTCTAAAATTTTTGCAAACTGGAAGCTCAGGCAGTAAAGAAATATAGAACCCAATAGCAGAATGACAGAACAATTCTGAGATATTAAAAAATAATTGAATTTTTAAGAGTCTTTCTTTTTTGGCACTACAATTTGAAATAGGTAAATCATCTCTCCCCACATTCAGAGAGAGGGAGAGGATGAGAGAAACCAACTACTGAACCTGTAGTTTTATAAGGAAGTATGATGTCCAAGTATGTCTAAAAAGAATCAGAGAAAGTACTTAAAATTAAATTTCCAGGCCCCTCTGGAAGTTTGGGGTATACCCAGTAATCTGTATTTTTTATATGAAACCTGGGTGAATTTTATCAGTAGACACCTCTGGGGACTAATAAAGTATTCGATAAACCAAATAGTGAGACCTCGTTTCAGGAGTAGGAATTAAAGAAACATCCTTTTATTTTTAGTTTAGGAAAATTTTAACTGTAGGCATCTTAGTGCTTCCTTTTTTCTGTTCTTCCATCAGAAATCTTCATGGGCAAGGAAATCTCAAATTATTGCCTTTAGATTAGGAAGATTTTTCTGTTACACAGCTTTACCTTTAGGATTAAATAATTTTATTTCAAGAACTCCCTGTTCTAATACTTAAAAATTGTTGACTTTAAAAGCAGGTTGAACTTACGAGAGAATATTGGAACGTGGGTTTATATCACGTTAGCACATTTACCTTTAAATGTCTTGTCCATTTAAGTACATTTGTACATATGTGCATTAAGGTATTCAGACTGAAAAACACACATGGGAGTTGAATTCTTGAGAATATCAGACTGCCAAAACACTAACTAAAATACCAGCCATCTGGCAGAAACTTTAGTGGCAGGGTCTGTTTATTAGTGAAAACTGCAAGCCGCTTTCTGTTGTCTGGGCAACTTTCTGAGGTCAGGCAAGAGGCACCAGAACTGAAAACTGTAGTTACCTCTGTTCATAAAGGATAAGGATACGGTGAATTTGTAACTACTCAAAGTAGGATGAGAAGCCAAACCAGAAGCAGTGTCATATAGTACCATCTGATTGGTGCAAAGTTTTTTAAAAGGGTGGGAGATATGCATATTCAAGTAATAACTAAGACTTAGCAACCAGACTAGACTTTCTTAATTAACTCCAGCCCAGGTTTGTTTTCATTTATGTCAATGGATGAATTGTTCCTCGCCACATGGTACATATGGTTCCTATTAAGTTTGTCTTTATCCAGATGTTTTTCATTTCTACCATTAAATCTCAAGTTTTGAAATTGCAGAGGCAGGTTGAAATTGCTAAAGAAAGTCTATTACCTGTGTGTTTATGGCAGTGTTTAAAGCTTATTTTGGGAAATCTTTAGCTTTGTTTGTGCATTCTTATATTTCATTTTCAAAGATAGAAATGGAATCACAATTGACCTTATAAGCATAGCATCAGGGGTAGGGATGATTTCTTTTTTTTTTTCCTCCTTGCACAAATTAAAATACTACTCTGTCCTTTTGATTTTTCACACAGTGAAGTGAAGTTGACAGTGGCCTCCTTCCTGTCTGATCGAATTGTGGACGAAATCCTGGATGCACTCTCACACTGCCATCATAAACTGGTGAGCGCGGTGTACATCTTGAGCAGAACCTCCTGTTTTGGCTCTGCTGTGATGCAGGACAGCCGCCAGTGTGGGAATGTGGTTTCTTCTCTACATTTTACTCCTTTGCAGCTTTATGGGATAAGATCCTAGTTTTCCTCCTTCCTTTTCTACATCGCTTCTAACCGTTCTGAAGCGTGTTAGAATTTCTCCAGAGGAAATGGGAGGGAGAGCAGAAGTGAAAGTCTCGAGAAATCATATTGTTCATTTATAATGCAGGACAAAAGTTTTGGTAGCAAATGATGTTGGGACTGAGGTCTAAAATTAACATTTTTAGTTTATTTATCTGTGTTCATTTTGTTGCTCCCTGATAGGATTATTTGAGAATGGTCTGTTTTTGAAAACATGGGGTGAAATGAAACATTTGGAGTCCAAAGAAAGCACAAGAGCAAAATGGGTGTAATCTAGTGATTGATAGCTGCTGACTGCCCATTAGATGCCTCAGATAAAACCAAGGGGGAAAAAATTAATTTCTTTCATTTAGGGACTGGTTCTGTATCAAGGTACGGAGCTTTACTTCCAGTATCAGTGCACATGGAAAATATAGAAGAATCTTCATGTTTTTCGAACTTCAGGAATTATTCTGAGGCACAGATGAAGATTTTATAACTGGTTATATCTTGTTAATGACATTGTTTCCTCCAGAGAAAGATTTCAGGTTAACTGTGGAGGATGGACATACCCAGTTTTATGGCATTGAATTGTTGGGTGATGCTAGAAAGTATTTCTATAGCAATTTAACATCGCCACAATGTCCAAACACACATTATTTTTCTAATTTTTAATTTTTATTCCATTTTATCAATATACTGGTATGTGCCATATCAGAAATATATAAAAGAAAAAAAAAACCGGTTCATCATCACAATTAATTTAAGAAGCACTGGTCTCTCGTTACTGGCACAGGAAAGAGCCACATC